CTGGGATTGTCACTCACGGTTAAAAGATTTCTGACCACGAATTTTTGGGAATTATTAAAATCCGTTTACTTTTGAACATTGAACCTGTGGATATAATCTTGTTGACCACTAATACCTCTAACAAACCGTTTGACATTTTGTGACCTTTTAACACTAACACATATCTGTAATTGTGTATATTGTTGGATTTATATGTTCAATTTGGCCCAAGTCATTGAGTCTATGGTTTTGTTATCATTTTAGTCAATTGTGCTTAACTGTATTGTACATTGTTGTGTTGTTGTCGCTTATTGCTTTTTTTGCTGTGAACTATTTTTCTTTTGCTAGTGTTGTTTTGATTGCTTTATTCCTTGTTTTCCGGTTTGAAGGGAATTAACCCACAAGCAGAACTGCCAGTAAACATCGATCCCCGACAAAATCAGAAGTCCTTAATTCAATCAAGATGCTGAAAGCCGGCATTGCAGCAGGACCAGAAGGAACCCCAGTGGAAGCATTGAAAATGGACCCAGGGACAACAGAGGACTTGATGACGCCATTACTAGAGAAAGTGTGGAAAGAGGGCAATGTACCTGGGGATTGGAATAAAAGATACTTTTTCAAACTGCCAAACAAAGGAGACCTAATTTAATGCAAAAACTGGCGTGGAGTAAGGCTCATGTCCATTCCAAGGAAAATACTAAGCCGCATCATTCTGGAGAAAATCAAACACGCCAACCTGGATGAAAACCTTCGACCGGAACAGGTTGGATTCAGGATAAACAAGTCATCTATTGATCAAATCGACACTCTACGGATCATCATTGAACAAAGCTTGGAATGGCAGTCACCTCTCCACCTCACTCAACTTCATCGACTTTGAAATGGCCTTCGATAGCGCAGCGTCAATCGAGAGGTGATTTGGCGACTACTTCGCTACTACGGGGTCCCATCGACAATTATACAACCCATCCAACATTTATACGACAATGCTGCATACCAAGTAATCCACAACGGGGAACTCACGGAAGCCTTCAAAGTGAGGACGGGAGTGAGACAAGGCTGTCTACTATCGCCAATGATTTTCCTGATTGCAGTAGATTGGATAATGAGACAGACAACGGGCAGTGAGGAAACAGGCATAAAATGGACTCACACAAAAACTTGAAGGGTCTGGACTTCGCCGATGACATATGTCTGATTTCCCACAAACTGGAAGATATGCAAGTGAAAAGCAACAAGTTGGTAGAAGAAGCATCCAGAGAAGTTAGGCCATCAGGTGAACATAGATAAAACAGAGGGGATGGAGATTCCTGGCCAACACCATCAGCAATAACAACAGTCAACAATCAGCATAAGCGGCAGGAACCTGAAAGGAACAACCTCCTTTACCTAACTGGGAAGCATCGTTTTAACTACAGGCGGATGGAACTGACGAGGATATCAGAGCAAGAATCAGAAAAGCAAGACAAGCTCTCATTACTCTGGAGTCTGTGTCAAGGTCAACAGCACTACGCAGAACCAAATATAAGATCCGGATCTTCAACTCCAATGTGAAGTCAGTCAGTGCTACTATACGGATGAGAGACTTTGTGCATCGTAGAGTGCATCTTAAACAAACTACAGACCTTCATCAACAGGTTTCTTCGCTCAATACTTAAGATTGGATGGCCAGAAAATATCGGCAATAGGGATCTCTGGGAGCGAACCAACCCAGCAGGAACCGATTGTGAAACAAATAGGCAGGAAGAAATGGAGATGGATTGGCCATACGCCGAGTAAACCATCAAGTGGCATCACTAGACAAGCCATTGCTCGAGTGGAACCTGAAAGGGAAACGGCGAATTGGTCGTCAGTGCAAGGGTGACTTCGAGGAGGTTATGTGAAGAGGAGATGAAAGCATGTGGCCAGACTTGGAGCCAGAGGAAAAAGTTGGCAGAAAACCGAACGCAATGGAGACGTGCAGCTGAAGCCCTATGTTCCTCTAGGAATAAAAGGATATAATAATAATACTTGTGAATACACTATGAATCAACAACATTGTTGTGCAATTGAAGCTGTAGGAAATGAAATAGGTGTCATGTATTATTTCTAATTCAAAAAGTGAGAATTTGCTAGGAAAATGGTTCGAAACAGAACCTAGTGTCAACTCAAGTGAGATAACTCCATTTGAATCATCCTGACGATCTATGCGTGACATCCATTGGCACTTATCTGGGACAATGTGACCGAGGTGTCTCTCTGGGCATAGCCAAAACTTTCGTGATCCCAAATTTTCAGTCAAGATTTTGTATAGCGAGGAACTCAGGTTCATCATTTCTCTACATCTTTCCCACCATAAATAGTCTACTGTTTCAGCATTATTAATATTAGTATTATCCAATCACGTCATCTGTCCAAACGTCATATATGGTGTTTCTTATTTCCAAGTTTCAAATCCATATCTGTGTTACACAGCTTCACCCTGTCACTCATTACATCTTGACCTTTAAGCGTTAACAGTTTCGGAAGCTTCCTCTCTCTCTGTGTTATATATTCCGGAGTTCATAGCCCAGGAGATGACATTGTCGAAAAAGAAAATAATTTCACTCACTGAAATCGTCTGCTTGCTATCCATGTCAACGAGGTAAGTAAATTTCATGAATCAAATTAATCAATGATTCATCGACTTTACTGCTTGTGATTTCACTGAGGAAGCCTCATAGGAGTATGTTGAAAGCCGTTTCAGAAATTGCACTTGAGAAGAGACTATGAGTCAACAACGTCGTTGGATAATTAAAGCAGTATGTTATTTATTTAAATGGAAGATAGATACTTGGTAGCTCAGTGATTTAGGAAAGGCCGCCACAAATAATCTACTCATGATCCTTAGAATGCAGAGAACACGAAATTCAGCAGAGATATCTTTCATTTTCAAAAGCTGTACAATCGCATTCAAATACATAATTCTTGTTTGATTTCACATAATTACGACGGCGAATAAAAGGTGATAATTGTTTTCAACTAGATGTGGTTTACGAGAGGTTCAGGTCTAGTATACATTTCTCGCTGAGACAAATAATATTTGAGTGGGAAATCTCTTTTAATCTTACATTGGTAAATTTAGTTATGATTATGATTATTATTACGGCTTATTTATCTGTAGCACGTATTGAGTTCAATCGATATGTTCAGAGAAATTCATCACACGACCGTTTGTAAGTACACAAATGGTAAATGTGTGTCCTCGTGATTTTTCTATTTCATGATAAGACACATGTAAAGCATCTTCACATAGTGGAACACCATGTTTGTGACGGATCAGTATTTAACATAATTAGGTTAATGACTGTCATCTCACAGTGTTCAGAATGTGGGTGGTGTATATCTGATTGCTTTCTTGTGGAGTATACTTTACTAGAAGTATCGCATGTTTGTACACTATTTACCGAATCTCTTATGTAGAAATGTTTGTTTAATCGTCGTCCAAAGCATTTTGTTAACCTCTGAACTTGTGACTGTTTTATTAGGTGTTATTACTGATATTTTATACTGGTATAGACACCATCAGTTCTCTGGTTAAATTATAACTGTGATATTTGTTGTTCTAATTACGCCATGTTTTGAAAATTTCGCTTGTATTTCTGAGATATTTGCATCCAAACATTAGCAGATTATTTTACACGAAATACACTTTTAAACGCCATAAATGTCTTCTGTTAGTGTCCAGTCTGAGCATAAATGATTCCAACAGGAAATGGGACACTGTCACAGTTCCTCAATCGTTTACCATCATGATATTTATTCAGATAACTGACAGCTTCGTGTCAACTACAAGTAGCATGGATGAGAATTTGAAATGCAAGATTGAAAAAGAATGACAGACCTTCAATTATCTGAAATCAGTGTTGAAACGTGCTGCATGCAGAACAAGGAATAGGCTTGAGATTTTCATCACAAATGGGCTCGAACAAAGGAACATCTTCCTAGTTTGCAGCATTTTTGTCAAGTCAGTCTATATCTTTGCATGATTCAGAGGTTTAGTTAGTCAATGAAACTGATTCGAAGAGTCTATGGCAAACGTTTTTCATCAAATGCATTCCCTGGTTCGATATAGAAGATCGAATTTTGAGAAGGAATTAACAACAAAGAATGAAATGCAGAATGAAATCAGGATGTACTGGATATGACTGGAGGAGACATTTGATTGACACCAAGAAGAAGCCAAAATGCATTGCGAATGGGAGATGACGAATTCAGTGTTTTCTAAGAATAAAATGGAGAACACCGCGTCAGGAGGAAATGGGGGCGTATGGGATTCATAAGGTCAGGCAAACACCACTCAGCTGAACTTGGTGAGGTGCACATGGGCTGTTGAAGCCCTTAATTCCACTGGAAACCCTATGCAATAATGAAATGTATTAAATAATAACAATAATCGATAGCTGCCTTCTGTATTCGAAATAAGTATAATATATACATTTATTAATGATGAAACTGAAAAGCGAAATTGGTACATTGTTTAAAACAAAACAGAACAGAACAAGTAATTCAACAAAGATGATTACAATATACTGTCGAAATGAGAAGGGTGTGATGTGAAACCGAAAGAGAATGAGAGTGATTCACATTTATACAAATCGTGAAGATGTCATATGAAAATAAAATGTGGTAGACAAAATTATGAAAGAGTACTGATATCTCTGATAAATGTGAATGAAGACGTTTTATTCCTCTACTTTTTCATTTGTAGACAGAAAAATCTGGATGTTTTTATAGGCGAAACGTATCGAGTGTTAGCGAAATCATAGAAATACCAATGTTTTCACTTGGAATGAGATTCTTGTTTATTTCTCCGCTGATGGGTGTTCAGACTCAGCTGGAGGTGAGGGTTTTGATCCGTCATTGTTGGACATTGGTGGTCCGAGTGGAGGGGACTGTCCACCAGAAGGTAGTTGGTTAATCAATGCAGATCCATGAGGAGATCCTGAAAGAGGGACTGGTGCTAACTGAGGAGTTCGCCCATCTGATGGCGGTGGTGCGAATTATGCAGGTTGTGGGAATGGTGGAGGTGGTCCAAATTGTGGAGGTTGTCCGAATGATGTAGGTGGTCCGAATTGTGGGGTTTGTCCGAATGATCGCGGTGTACCGAATTGTGGAGGTTGTCCGAATGATGGAGGTGGTCCAAATTGTGGAGGTTGTCCGAATGATGGAGGTGGTCCAAATTGTGGAGGTTGTGCGAATGATGGAGGTGGTCCATATTGTGGAGGTTGTCCGAATGATGGCGGTGGTTCAAATTGTGGAGGTTGTCCAAATGACGGAGGTGATCCAAATTGTGGGAGTTGTCCGAATGACGGGGGTGGTGCGAAATCTGGGGATTGTCCGGATGGAGGAAGTGTTCGAGGCAAAAGTGGAACCTGTGGGAGTCCATTTTTGTTCAACGGAATACCTAGTGGAATGAGTAAAAATAGTGAGACAGACTCAATTACATTCAAAACATGGAATGTAGTAATTTATTTTGATAAAAATCCACACAAAGTTAGACCAACTTTTATGTCAATCAGACTATGTTAATCACAGATAATTTCTCGAGAATAATTGCGCAATTATTCCTACGAAAAGAATGCACAAAATCATGTTACCAGCTTCTGAGTTGCTCAGTGTTTCTCTTTTCCGAAGTTCAAGAGATAATGAAGTTTCGTTAAAGAGTAACATATCCGTCGGATTAAGAGTATTAACCCTGAACACAAAATCAGTATCACTTTTATGAACAACCGTTTGACGTAAAACTAATCTGTGCTAAATAGTCCTACAAAATCCACCAGAAGATATCTGCGATTTCCAACATACTTCTAAGAGCTTTCCAAAGTGAACGCCAAGTGAGAGGCTACGAGGACTATTTTCATGTGACTTCAAGCTTTTACTTACAAAACCGATTCTAATTTTCTCACTTGTGCATTTCAACAATGAAATGTAATACTACTACTACTATACTACTAATAATAATAATGATTTGCTTTATTCCAAAACAGTAGTCATGATAGCGTGGGGAATTCTCATCATTCACTACAGTGTTGCATCTTTTTTACTCGATAAGCAAGCGGAAAAGCAAAGACGAAATATAATATTACATGATTCATAATCGCAGTCTATTGTGGTAATTACAATGATAATAAAATCGAAATTTCAAAGAATGTGTAAAACAGTGATATTAAACTTATTAGCTTAAATTATTAGTTAATTCAAATAGTGTCACGATTAGATTACTAATAGGAGGGGTGGAAGAGCCGATTTTCTCGCTAATAACATAGTAAGTTGTAGGTTTAACGCTTAACACTATCTGTGTCACATAGAATTCGATCAAGCCGAATGAGGTATCACTGGACGTCTGTGATCGGTTTTATGTGCGGATATTCTTTTCCAGTGATCTCTAGTCTTACTGACAACCTTTAAAGCCTTTCGCATTATGGCATAGTCCTTTATGAGTAGCTCAGGAAAGACTAAGGCGGAGCAGTGAAGTACAGTAGGTAGGATGCATGAGTTGACAAGCTGTGAAAGTAGAGGCTGAGTGACTTCTCGTTGTCTTGATTTCTTGATGTGGAAGGTTAGACGGGCCGTGTTCTTGGAAATCGACGAGATACAGGATGACGAACGAAGAGAGGTCAGAGAATAAAACTACTTCAATGTATTTTATGCTTGACCTAGTTTCCGTTTCAGTACCCTTTTATCTGGAAACAGCTTGTGAAGCATCTACGCCTTAATGTCAAGTTAATTGACTGAAATTTAGAGGTATTGAAGCAAAAACCATTTAGCTTAGGCCATTGTCTGATATCCGAAGAGTAGCTGTTAAGTTTGGAACAATCAGATCCGGACGTATTTGTCAGCGAGACAATAAGCGAGAATATTCCTGGCTGTTTGTTGTAATGTTGGGCTACCTAGACTTCTATCTACGTAGTTCGCCTGATTTATCGTGTTTTATGTGTATTAATACAGCAAAGTAAGACGTCAGTTCATATGTACGTGTAACAATAACTCAGTTCAAGCCGACTTACTGTTTATGTGAACATTATAAATGTCACCACCGATTAGTAGAAACAAGAGGATACTTCGCATAATTTTCACACACTTTTCGCAGTAATCAACCAGATGAGAACAATTCTATGAAGAAAGAAGGAAAACAAGTTTGATGCGATGAACAGAATGAAAATACGATGATAATATCTGGTCTATCTGTAGTCCTCACTTTTTATATATAATAATAATAACAGCTTTATTCCAAACAGTATTTGTGGTACAGGTATGGAATTTTCAGCGTACTTTAACATCAAAGGACAGCTGAGGCTAACTGCAATTGACATGAGAACGTGACAAGCCAGAGCCTATCCACCAGCTAATCTAACTTCCGTCTATCGAACAACTTGCTCTTTGTTGCAGTAAAAAATTGACTCATATCCTTTACATGTCAACCCCAACTATATATACAAATTACATGTATCTACAGAAGCAGTTAGATTCGGTGAGCAGAAAGAAGGGCGTAGGTACGATTTTCCGAACATGTACCAAAAAGCCTATGTCTAACGGGACAGATGCTTTCACAGTGCCGTTGCCAGGCATCTCCTTGACACGGGTCATGAGGTGAACGTCGCAGATGATTCGAAACTATCAGTAGGTGAGGGAATTCAATTCTCCCCAAGTTTTCCGAAGCAAACTCCATCAAGCGCACTGAACCTGATTTATGCGTTGAGAAGGAAGGGGATGTCAGTCTTTCCTTGCACTGCTTACTGGACGTTTCCATTATCGATTTCATCTCATTACAAAATGTTGAAAATTTCGATTGGGTAAAACTGTTAATGTTCGGGATAAAGTGTTTACTATTCTTACTAGCATTGTATACATATATTGACTGACTAATTTTTGTTTGAAGATGAACTCTTCAAGGATGTCAAGATTGTTTTCATGCGTGTAATTAATGATGTCTTTGAGTTGTAACCAAGTGATCATAAGCCGAGGGAATAAATGATGGTTCTTGCTTCGTTCAAATTCATAAAGCGTAATAAATGTATGAAGTATAAAGATGTTTAATGATGACGGTAATAATAGTAATAAGAATCAGTAATAGTAATAGCAATAGTTAGACCTACCTATTTCTCTAATGACAGATGAACTGATTAGCTAAATATAACTGAAGTATTTATAAAACTTTTACCTGTTACACAATCACAATTTATTATCACGTGGTTACCTCAATTTAATTAGGTCATTCGACTTCTAGAAATGATTATGTGACTGTTTCGAATCAATCAGATGACTGGTACATGATTAATTCGTTATAATACAAAATAACAATATTCATCATTCATTAGAAATAAATGACTGTCAGCAGTGTTTCTTTTGTGTTTTTGTTTGATAGTGCAGTTACACACTGTTTAACACATTATTAGGCATGAAGTTGTCAATCAAGATCTGATGATTGATGTCTAAGTCTTTATCTTGGAAAAAGACTGTTGAGTGTTGACTTCGATGGTAGTGTTTAAGATTAATTAGTTGAGTGTTGTTGACCTGATACACAGTGGATGCTTTTTGAACACGTATCATCCACTCGATTTTGTAAAATGCTGTAGGCTGTATGTCTACGACAGATAAAACTTTTTTCTGTCTTACCTCTAATGAAATGTTCGAATGATGAAATTAGGAGTATATTTGTGATGCATGAATTTAGACTTCCCAGTAAATACCACTAGTCAAATGAGATTCTTCTTTAACTTACGCAAAAGGCTATAAACAAAAAAGCAGATACAAAATGGTACAAAAATTATACATATAGCAAGAATGTGGGCATTGTAAGTGTTATGGAATGATTTAAATGTCCAGTCGATTTATTTACTCTTATAATTATTGTTCCGTTGGATTTAGAATAAGATATAGGGCTTCAGGAACACAGCTCCACTTTGCTGTATTTTCTCCGATCCTCTGCAGCTGGGTCAACGATTCGCTTAACTCTCTCTCATCTCCTCCTATTACGATTTCCTCCCTGTCACCCTCGCACTGACGACTGACGCGCCGCTTCCTATTAGTTTTCCACTCGATCGATGACCTGCACAGCGAGCCAGGTCATTCGACGATAACCTCAACGTGTACACGATCCATCTCCATTTCCTCCTACATATTTGTTGAGAAATTGGCTCTTGTTCCGTTGCTCCATTATGCGTTAATTTTGTTTTGATAAAGTCTCACAGCGTTATACAGTAATGTTTACTGATGACGTTTCGAGCACAATTTATTGCTCATAATCATATCAAGGTAATCACACGACTTCCTAAATTCATTTATATAGTTCCATTGTTTTTCTCTTGACTTTCACTTGATTTGATTGGTAGTAGTATTTTCCATATTTCAGGTATGAGTGACGAGTCATTCCTATTGCATGTGTTGGGTGTAGACTCGATGAACAAGGATTCAGTAATCAACCTCTCTCTCCACCTACCTAGATTACTTTTTAGAATTTTAACCCTCTCCCACCCTATTGTGTGGTTGTGTGTTAGCGCATGCATTGCAATTGCTGAGCTTTTTTCTAAATTACTTATCTTCTCGGGGTCAACCATTCTTACCTTAGCTAAATTCTTATATTCTGACAATCTGACTACCCCTGACCTACTAGTTTGACCTATGTAGTTGACCTCACAGTCATTGCATGGTATTTTGTAAATAATATTATTTTGTCTAATTGGGTCAACTGGGTCCTTTAACCTACAAAGCTTGTCCCTGAGTGAGTTTGTAGGTTTAAATGCCACCCTAATTCCTATTTTATTCAGAATCCTACGTAGTGTCTCAGATGTCCCCTCTTTATATGGTATAACTGTGGATGACTTATATTCTTTCTTATTTATGTTATTATTACTAGTTTCACAATTATTTTTATTTTGTTTTTGGCCTTTAGTGATCTTCCTAATGAATTTTATAGGATAGTTATTCAACACCAACGCTTCTTCTATCTGTTTTAATTCATCATTTAGATCTTTTTTTGTGCTACTTAGTGCCACTGCTCGGTTTGTTAAACATTTAACTAAGCCTGCCTTAACAGTTAAAGGATGAGACGAATTAAAGTCTAAATATCTATTAGAATGCGTTGGTTTTCTATAAACACTAGTGTGTAGTTTGCCTTCTTCTATTCTTTTTATCTTACAATCTAGCATAGCTAATTCTCCTTGTTCATTTTCTGATTCAAATGTGAATTTTATTCCATCAACTTGTGAGTTTATATGTGTCAAGAAGCTAGAGATGTGTTCTGTTTTTAGCACTGTGAAAGTGTCATCCACATATCTCCACCATATTTTCGGAGTAGGGTTAAATGTATTGAGGGCACTATTTTCCCAGCTGTCCATAAATATGTCTGCTACGATAGGGGATATTGGTGATCCCATTGCTACACCTTCTGTTTGTCTATATATATATATATATATATATATATATAGTAGGTCAGGGGTAGTCAGATTGTCAGAGCATAAGAATTTAGCTAAGGTAAGAATGGTTGACCCCGAGAAGATAAGTAATTTAGAAAAAAGCTCAGCAATTGCAATGCATGCGCTAACACACAACCACACAATAGGGTGGGAGAGGGTTAAAATTCTAAAAAGTAATCTAGGTAGGTGGAGAGAGAGGTTGATTACTGAATCCTTGTTCATCGAGTCTACACCCAACACATGCAATAGGAATGACTCGTCACTCATACCTGAAATATGGAAAATACTACTGCCAATCAAATCAAGTGAAAGTCAAGAGAAAAACAATGGAACTATATAAATGAATTTAGGAAGTCGTGTGATTACCTTGATATGATTATGAGCAATAAATTGTGCTCGAAACGTCATCAGTAAACATTACTGTATAACGCTGTGAGACGTTATCAAAACAAAATTTACCCATAATGGAATTACACTCTACCACAGTGCACAAGTTTTATTCTTATATTCTTGTTCCGTTGGTTTGTTATCAGCCGAAGTTTCTTGTTGCTTATCATTTCTTTCTGGCTATTTGATCTTTAGTATGAAGCCAGCCAGTGAAGGTGGCAGCTGTTGATGAAAGTCTCGTGTAAGTCTGCGGTGGCCTGTTGGAAATCCTCTTCGTGACACGCAGTGCAGGTTTCTCACCCTGACCTATTTCGCATTGGTGTTGAAAAACTGAGTCGTGTTCCTTGTAATGAGTGTAGAAGATTACCAAGCTGGTTTCAGGTTGATGAATGCGTTTCTCGCATTTCCGATTCTGACTGGCTTTGATATGTTCATCAGCTCCGGCTGACTGCAGTTGAATCGCTGCTTCCTAGCCGGATAAGTGAAGGAGGTAACATCTGTCACATCTCTCGTGTTGATGGTGATTGGTGGTGGTTGTTGTCCTTGTTGTGGTTCGTTGGTTATATTCATCAACTCGGCCTATCAATGTTCACTTGGAGTGCTGTCTTCGCTGCTGGCCTCTTCACCCAGTTTGTTGGTTTCAACCTGGAAGTCTTCGAGTTTGTGTTACATTAGACATATATCATCCAGGCGCGAAATACAGATCGTCTAGAGTCTTCTTATCGGTGATCTAGTGTATTCCTGTCTTCTCACTCACAACGCACAGTCTGACGCATAATCTAGGCCCCTAAAATGAGGAATATCACCAGTGATAGTAGACAGCCAGCTTGTCTTACTCCTGTATTCACTTCGAACGCTTCGCTGAGTTTTCTTTTGTGGAACACCTGACACGTGAAACTGTCACAGTGTTAGCTGTTGGATGAGGTTGACAAAGCCTTGGACACTGTACGCCGTAGTGTAGAAGTAGTTTCCAAATTACTTCTCGGTCAACGCTATCTGTCGGAGGCGTTTTCGAAGTTGATCAATTTGAGGTGGAGTGGTGCTTGACTGTCATTCTATTCTAGGCTGTGTTCTGTGATGACGATGCGTAGAGTTACAATTCGATGAGGCTATGATTTGTTTTCTCTGAATCCAGCTAGCTTGTTTCGATGGGGCTGGCGGATTTCTGTGTTTAGTGCATTCTCTATTCTCTCCAGGATGATCCGACGTATTATTTTACTCGGCGTGGACAAGAGTCAGTTCTTGCAGAGTGAGGCGTAAGCTGCTATTCTTTGGAAGCTTGACAAGGCGGCCAATCTTTCTTCCAGTCGGTGGG